TCGTGGGGCCCTCTTGGGGCAGCCATGGGAGCCTCTGGGGCCATCTTAGGGCCATCTTGGAGGAGGTCGATCCAAGGAGGGGCCGTACTAAATATGCACCGCCTCCCCAGGATGCCAATGTGACCGAAACCGTAGTAAAGTCAGTGATTTTGGCTTCCTCGCCGAGGCCATCTTGGACGCTCCAGCCCCTAGCGGAAGGCCTTCTCCAAACCAAGGGACACCTCCCGGAAGGGGGAGAATGGGGGTCAGAAGAGGAAACGCTCTAAACCACTCACGTCCTGAAGGGCTGGTGGGATTTGCTCGCATACGTTCTACCACGTATGCGTACGTACGATCTGTTAGGCTGGCAGTGCCACCGATGAGTCCACACACGTTCTGCCATCCATGCGTCCACATACGCTCAGCCAGGTGGAGTACGTGCACCCGCCGCCTGCGTGTCCACATGCGCGCTGCTGGACCAGCTGAGCCACGTACGTGTTTGCATACGTTCTGCAGCCTATGTGTCCACGTACGTTTTGCCAGGTGGAATGCGCGCTCTCGACACCTATGTGTACACATACGACATAGCAGACTGAAGGTCTGCATCGACGGCGGATTGCGTAGATGCGGATCGGCTGCTTTGGGCATCGTGGTATATGGCGTCGATGGGCCGGAGGCTGTCGAGATAGGGCGGGCTGCGCGGAAGCTCACTGGCATAGGGTCGGCCTTCCAGTCCGAAGCAACAGCGTTAGAGTGGATTGTAGATATGTTTTGTAACCATATACTATAATTTTGTCATCCTCCATCTTCTCCCCTTCCTCTTGTCCAGTGGCCGCGTTTGTTTTCCACTTGAGGTAGATACGCGTTGATGCTGAGCCCTCAAGGCTACTTGGCACAGGCCCCCGGGGTCGTCATGAGCCTACGGCGTTATGACAACTGATTTGCCTTTCACCTAGCACGCGCACGACTGTGCCAGCGGACGTCCGAAAGAAAGAAAGAGGCCGACTTGGCAACCCATGTGTCCACATACGTTATGCCACGCATGTGTCCACATACGTTCTGCCAGGTGAAAGTCGCGCACCCGCCATCTATGTGTCTACGTACGATCTGCCAGGCCTCTTGGGGCTTCTTGGGGGTCTCTGTGGGTCCCATAGGCCTTTTAGGGCGTCTTGGGTGCCCCTGGGGGGCCTCTTGTGGCCTCTTTGGGTCTCTGTGTCCGAATATGTTCTGCCAGGTTAAATGCGCGCACTAGTTGACGTGAGCAGGGGTTTGTTGGAGCAACGAGGGGGGCAGCCGTTACCTTTCGAAGGGGGAGGGAAAGAAGGAGGAGGAAGAGGAAGATACGGAGGAGGAGGATGGATGAGGGAGGAGGGGAAATGATGATGAATGGGCGGATCATGGTGATGATGATGTTGATGATGCTGATTATGATGATGATAACTGTGATGGTGGTGGTGATGGTGATAGTGATGGTGAGGACTGTCGAGATGCTGATGATGACGATGATGATGCTGATGATGACGATGATGATGCTGATGACGATAATGATGCTGCTGCTGATGAGGATGACTATCATGATTTTCATCATGATGAAAATGATGATGATGATGATGCTGTTGCTAGTGATGGTGATACTTATCGTTCTGATCACGGTGATAACGATGCTGATGATGATGCTGTTAATGATGCAGCTGATGTTGACAGCGACGAGGACGATGAAGACAATTATGATGATGAGGATGATGCTGTTGGTCAGGATCAGGGTACCGATATTGTTGTGATTGTTGTTATTAAAGATGTTGTTGTTGTTGTTCTTTTTATATTTGTTGTTGAAGGTGATGATGGTGATGTTATTGATGCTGATAACGATGATGAGGCTGCTGATGATGGTGACGATGCTGATGGTACAGATGCTGATGATGGTGATGATGATTACGATGATGTTGCTGCTGCTGATTATGCGTAGGATGATGTCGACGATGACGACGATGATGATGCTGATGCTCATGATGAGGTTGGTGGTGATATTGTTGCTGCTGATGATGATGATGTTGACGCTGATGTGCTGATAATGACGATGATGATGACGTTACCGATTCTGATTCTGCTGCTGTTGTTGCAACTTGTGGCGATGCTGGCGCTGCTGACGATGGTGATGATGATCATGAAGTTGTTGTTGATGATGCTGCTGTTGATGATGATGATGATGAGGATAAAGCAGAGGATGATGATGCGTATCATTATGATGATGATATTCGTAGCCGTGAGGGAGTCGCGAGAAGGAGGGTGAGGAGAATGATGCTGACGACGACGAGGCTGATGATGATGATGATGATGACGATGATGCTCATGATGGTGATGATGATGATGATGCTGATGATGACGATGCTGGTGCTGCTGCTGAGGATGATGATGCTGCTGCTGATGATGATTATCCTGATGATGATGCTGACGCTGATGATGGTGACGAAGTTGATGACGATGCTGATGATGATGCTGATGCTGATGCTAATGATGATGTTCACGACGCTGATGATGAAGCTGATGCTGATGTTACGTATGCTGCTGATGATGAAGATGATGATGACGATGATGATGATGCTGATGAGTACGATGTAATTCTGATAGTGTCGGTGATGATGATGATGCTGGTGTTGCTGCTGATGATGAGGATGATGATGGTGCTGCTGATCATGATGAGGATGCGGATGATGCCTATGCTGATGATGGTGATGACGATGCGATGATGCTGATGATGATGATGCTGATGCTGATGATGATGATGAGGATGATGATGATACTGATGATGATTATAACGATGGATATGATGATGCTGATGGTGCTGACGATGATGATGATTCTTCTGATGATGATATTGGCGATGATGCTGCTGATGATGATAAGGATGATGATGATGCTGATGATGCTGATGATGATTATGATGGTGATGATGCTGATGATGATTTTGATGGTGATGATGCTGATGATTGCGATGATGATGCTGATGCTGATGATGCTGGTGATGCTGATCATGGTGATGATGATGCTGCTGCTGATGATGATGATGTTGCTAGTGATGATGATGCTGATGATGACGTTGCTGCTGCTGATGATGCTGCTGCTGATGGTGATGATAGTGGCGATGATGATGATGCTGATGCTGATGCTGATGATGATGATGCTGACGATGCTGATGATGATGCTGATGCCGATGCTGATGACGATGCTGATGCTGATGAGGATGATGATTACGATGATGATGATGCTGATGATGCTGATGATGCTGATGATGCTGATCATGGTGATGATGATGCTGCTGCTGCTGATGATGATGATGATGAAGCTGATGATGATGCTGATGATGATGCTGCTGCTGCTGATGATGATGATGGTGATGCTGATGCTGCTGCTGCTGATGATGATGATGCTGATAGTGGCGATGATGATAATGATGATGATGATGATGATGATGATGCTGATGCTGATGCTGCTGATGATGATGATGATGATCATCATGAGGATGAGATGATGAGGATGATGATGATGATGATGATGATGATGATGATGATGATGCTGATGCTGATGCTGATGCTGATGCTGCTGCTGATGATGATGATGATGATGATGATGATGATGATGATGATGATGAGGAGAGAGGAGGAGTTGGAGGAGGAGGAGGAGGAGGAGGATGAGGAGGATGATGAAGATGATGACGACGACGATGATGATGACGATCACGAGGATGATGATGATGATGATGATGATGATGATGATGATGATGATGATGATGATGATGATGATGATGATGATGATGATGATGATGATGATGACGAATGATGATGATGAGGAGGAGGAGGAGGAGGAGGAGGAGGCGGAGGCGCAGGCGGAGGTGGAGGCGGCGGCGGCGGAGGAGGAGGAGGAGGAGGAGGAGGAGGAGGAGGAGGAGGATGAGGAGGAGGCGGAAGAGGAGGGCGAGGAGAATTGGCCAGAGGTCTCCTGGGGCGTCTTTGGAGTCTTTTGGCAGTTCCAGCGTCCTCTTGGGGCGTCTCGGGTTCCTCTTGGAGGGGTGCGTCTTGGGGCCTCTAAAAGTTCTCCTGGGAGCCTCTTTGGGTACATCTTGGTGACCTCTCGGGGGCCTCTTGGGGCCTCCTGGGCACCTCTTGGGCCATCTCGAGGCACTCTTGGAACCGTCGCGACCCATCTGGGAGCCATCTCGGAGAAGACCGATCACAGGAGCGGCCGTCGTACAGAAGCCCCCTAAGCCCCCCCCTCTCCCTCCCCACACAGGAGGCCAACATGTGGCCAACACCTTAGTACAATCAATGACTCTGGCTTTTTTGCCGAGGCCTGTCGAGGCGTCTTGGTGCCTCTGGAGATGGGGGGTGGCTCTTGGAGCCTCTCGGGGTCTCTTGGGGGCCTCTTGGGGGGATCTTGGGACCTCGTGGGGCCTCTTGGGGCCTCCCGGGAACCCCTTGGGTCCGCCTTGGGCCACCCTTGGGAGTCTGGGGGGCCATTTTGAGGCCATCTTGGAGGACATCGATCAAAGGATGGGGTCTCCTCAATGAGCTCTTCCCCAGGCGGTCAGCATGTGGTCAGCATCTTAGTAAAATCAAATATTTTGGTCTTATCGCTGGCGCCTCCTGGGGCGTCATGGGTGCATCTCGGGGGCCTCTTGGGACCTCTTGGGGTCTCTTGGGAGCCTCCTGGGGGCATCTTGGGGGCCTCTTGAGGGCCTCTTGGGGCCTCCTGGGTCCTCTAGGGGCCGTCTTGTGGCACTTTTGGGAACATCTGGGGCCATCTTGGGGCCATCTTGGGGTACATCGATCAAAGGAGGGGGTCTTCCCAATTCTTGACGCTTCGCATATCCCCACCAGCGTCCGTAGCCTTCCGGCTTGAGCCGGGCGGCGGCGGCGGCGCCCGCGGCCTCTCCGCCGCCCGCGCGCGCACTCTTGGGGCGCGGCCTGGCCGCGCGGCCGAGGAGCGTCTGGCCGATGCCCGGCGCGCGCGCGGGCGCCGCGCAGCGACGCTCGGCACGGCCCGCTCGGGCGGCACCCGGCGCGGCGGCCGCGCGCCTGCGGGTGCTGCTCGGCGCCTCCGCGGCGGCGGCGGGGCGCGGGCGGCTGCCGGCCTGGGGGCTGCCGCCGCCGCGGCCAGCCGACTTCGAGGGCTTGCGCCTCTTCTTCTACGACCTGCCCGCGGGCTTCAACGCGGAGCTCGTGGACGAGCTGGGCCGGCAGGGCCGGGATGCGGGCGGCAATTGCGACTTCATGCTCTCGGCCTGCACGGAAAGCCGCTGGACCGGCAAGCCCTCCCAAGCGCGGCAGCGCGGAGCGGAGGTGGTGGTGCTCCAGAAGCTGCTGGCCTGCCCCGACAGCGCCCGCACGCGCGACGCAGGCGAGGCGGACTTGTTCGTAGTGCCGTACCTCGCAGCCACGGACTGTCTGCTCGGTGGCTTCCAGGCGGGCTGCGTCAAGACCCGGTCCGAAGGGGGCCTGAGCTTGTTCGGCCACTTGGAGCACTACAACCACGCCACTCGCCACCGGCACCTGTTCCTAGCGACCGCAGACATGCACAGCCTGCCCCCGTACATTCAGGCGCAGCCGCTGCTGGTTTCCCGCGGCGCGGTGTGGGGGCACCGGCCAGGCCACCTCCTCGTGCCCAGCGCGGTCGTCGAGGAGGAGCTGCAGCCGGCGGTTTTCGAGGACCTGCAGCTGGAGCAGCGCAGTGTCTTGTTCTGGCTGTACCAGACGCCAAATAACGCCGCCCGCATCCTGGTGTACGATCAGCTGTGGCATCTCGGCACTCTGCCAGAAGAGGAGGTACGGCAGCTCCTCGGGTTCCACGGCGAGCTCGTGCGGCACTGGACCCAGCGCGGCGCGAACGCAACCATACTGCCCGCCGCCGCGACGGTGGCTGGGATGCGGCGCGCCATCTTCTGCCCAGCGCCCCCAGGCGAGAACCCGTCCGCGGGCACCAAGAGGTTGATGGACGCGGTGCTGGCTGGCTGCCTGCCCGTCGTGGTGGCATTCGGCACCTCGTGGGGCAGCGGCGTGAGCTGGTGGCGGACCGAGGGCCCGCCCCTGGAGGCCATGTTGCCTTTTACGTGGGAGATCGATTGGAGGCGCCTGGCAGTGGAGGTCAGCTACAGTGAGCTGCAGCGTGAGGGAGGCCTGGTCGACTCCATCGCTCGCCTCGGCCGTGACGGGGTGGAGGCGAAGAGGTCCTATCTGTTATCAGTCCGGGACCGACTCGTATTCGATTTTGCGGGAAGAGTTCGCGACGCGTTCAGCGTCTTGATGGATGGCGTCCGGGCGGCACTGCCGAAGCTGACCCCCTCGCCCCTCTCGCACCCGCAACTCGGGCACACGTCGGGCATGGTCTGCGACGTGTTGCCCAACCAGATGGACACGGTGCGGTGGCGTGGGTCTGACGGCGAGAACTACACCCAGAAGATTTGGTTCCACCCCTTTGCAGAGCTATCCTGCCAGCCGGCCCACCTCTGGGCCGCCGGCCTGGACCTGGGCCCGGCCTCCCCGCTGCGGGCCACGCGGCTGGCCGTGCAGCGCCCGGCGCTGACCCGCATGCTGCTGACCGAGAGCGGCACGACCGTGCGCCTGCACGCGCCGCAGGCCGTCAGCCTGGCGCTGGGCGACGGCCCGCAGCGCGCGCACGCGGGCGCCCTGCTGGCCAGCTCGCCCCTGTCGGTGTGCCTGTACAGGAGCCTGCCCGTGGTGAAGTACCACAGACTGGACACGGGATCCTGGATGTACTACCGCTCTCCGCCGCAGGGCCCGCACAACGCAACCTGCAGCCTGCTGCCGGCACTGGCCGCGCCGCCACCGCTGCTGTCGCGACCCATCGCCCGCTGGGAGCTGCTCGTGCAGGGCTGCCGCGCGCGGCCGCGCCTGGGGCGCTTCGGCCAGGAGGCGGAGCAGGCCTGGACCGCGATGCCGCCCGGGCACGCGCTCCAGGTCACGGTCCACGAGGCCTGCGCCGAGGCGCCGCCGCGGCGCCGCGCCGGCGGCTTCGGGGGGCGCCCCGCCGGCGCGGAGCTGCTGCAGCACGTGCTGGCCGTGCTGCACGGTCGCCGGCGCGGCCAGCCCGCCCCCGATGCCTTCGTGCTGGTGCCGCCGGCTGCGCCGGGGCGCGGCGGCGCCGCGGCCGCCGCGGCGCCGGGGCAGTGGCGGGCTGGGCTGGTGACCCTCATCGGCACGCTCACGAAGATATTCCAGGAGATGGAGGAGCGCCACGGCCCCGCCGTGGAAGCGGGCCTGGGCAGGTGGCTGGCGGCCTCGTGCAACCCCTGCCCGAAGTTCTCGGCGGGGCGCGCGGTCGAGGACGTGAAAGGGGCGCGCGCCGTCGCCTTCCCGGCGGCCCTGCTCGACAGCGCCACGCTCAGCGAGTGGGAGGCGGCGGTGCCGCTCGCGCCGCTCGAGGCCGAGCAGGGCGCCGCGGCGAACTTCGACCTGCTCTTCGCGCTGCTGGTGCAGACGGCGACGTCGGCACGCGCGCCCGTGTACCAGACGCTGCACGGGTCGCCTCCCCCAAAAAATATCCCGGCAAAGCAACCTAACAGCGATGTGTAGGAGCATATTTGGAAGCATTCCCCTTAAGATTCAGATGAGAATCCAGTTGTACAATTCTGCTGTTCTCGCAGTCGTAGTCGCATTCGCGATGACAGTCGCAGTGGCAACGGCAGTCGCAGTCACAGCCTCAGCCTCAGCCTGCCTCAGCTTCAGCCTCAGCCTGCCTCAGCCTCAGCCTGCCTCAGCCTCAGCCTCAGCCTGCTTCAGCCTCAGCCTCAGTCTGCCTTCAGCCTCGGCCTCAGCCTCAGCCTGCCTCAGCCTCAGCCTGCATCAGCCTCAGCCTCAGCCTCAGCCTGCCTCAGCATCAGCCTGCCTCAGCCTCAGCCTCAGCCTCAGCCTCAGCCTCAGCCTCAGCCTGCCTTCAGCCTCAGCCTCAGCCTCAGCCTCAGCCTGCAGCCTCAGCCTCAGCCTCAGCCTCAGCCTGCCTCAGCATCAGCCTGCCTCAGCCTCAGCCTCAGCCTCAGCCTGCCTCAGCCTCAGCCTGCTTCAGCCTCAGCCTCAGTCTGCCTTCAGCCTCGGCCTCAGCCTCAGCCTGCCTCAGCCTCAGCCTGCATCAGCCTCAGCCTCAGCCTCAGCCTGCCTCAGCCTGCCTCAGCCTCAGCCAGCCTCAGCCTCAGCCTGCTCAGCCTCAGCCTCAGCCTCAGCCTGCCTCAGCCTCAGCCTCAGCCTCAGCCTCAGCCTCAGCCTCAGCCTCAGCCTCAGCCTCAGCCTCAGCCTCAGCCTGCCTCCTGCCTCAGCCTCAGCCTCAGCCTCAGCCTCAGCCTCAGCCTCAGCCTGCTTCAGCCTCAGCCTCAGTCTGCCTCAGCCTCAGCCTCAGCCTGCATCAGCCTCAGCCTCAGCCTCAGCCTCAGCCTCAGCCTCAGCCTCAGCCTGCTTCAGCCTCAGCTCAGTCTGCCTCAGCCTCGGCCTCCTCAGCCCTCAGCCTCAGCCTCAGCTCAGCCTCAGCCTCAGCCTCCTGCCTCAGCCTCAGCCTGCTTCAGTCTCAGCCTCAGCCTGCCTCCTCAGCCTCAGCCTCATTCTGCCTCAGCCTCAGCCTGCCTCAGCCTCAGCCTGCATCAGCCTCAGCCTCAGCCTCCTCAGCCTCAGCCTCAGCCTCAGCCTCAGCCTCAGCCTCAGCCTCGGCCTCAGCCTCAGCCTCAGCCTCTCAGCCTCAGCCTCAGCTCAGCCTCAGCCTCAGCCTCAGCCTCAGCCTCAGCCTCAGCCTCAGCCTCAGCCTCAGCCTCAGCCTCCTCTGCCTCAGCCTCAGCCTCGCCTCAGCCTCAGCCTGCCTCAGCCTCAGCCTGCAGCCTCAGCCTCAGCCTCAGCCTCAGCCTCAGCCTCAGCCTCAGCCTCAGCCTCAGCTGCTTCAGCCTCAGCCTCAGTCTGCCTTCAGCCTCGGCCTCAGCCTCAGCCTGCCTCAGCCTCAGCCTGCCTCAGCCTCAGCCTCAGCCTGCCTCAGCATTCAAAATGTGGCCCGGGAATGGAATTCTGGGAACTCGAAGAACACGAAGTGGCCTACAGTTGGCTCCGGGCATTCAAAATCATGCCCAGGAATGGAGTTCTGGGAACTCGAAGACCACGAAGTGGCCTACAGTTGGCTCCGGGCATTCAAAATCATGCCCAGGAATGGAGTTCTGGGAACTCGAAGACCACGAAGTGGCCTACAGTTGGCTCCGGGCATTCAAAATCATGCCCAGGAATGGAGTTCTGGGAACTCGAAGACCACGAAGTGGCCTACAGTTGGCTCCGGGCATTCAAAATCATGCCCAGGAATGGAGTTCTGGGAACTCGAAGACCACGCAGTGCGTTACTGTTGGCTAAATAAAGGATTCCCCGGATTCCCGGGGCACCGGTCCGGCATCTGCCCAGACCTCCCTGGGGAGTCATGATGCTCTCTTTTGAGAGCACTAGAAACCTATCAGTCTTCGCTGTTAGGTAAAAACCTTGCTCCACATGCCCAACCGCTCGTTGGCGCATGGAGCCCCCGAGTGCACGTGGTCCAGCCTGTGCTCTCCCACGCTCCCCGCGCCGCCGAGGTCGGCCGCGACAGTCGGTCTACCTCGGCGTGCTCAGGGCTGCTCCCGCCTCTGGCGCCGTCGCGGCGACAAGGCTGCACGCTGTGGCTTCTGGACGCGATAGCTCCTGCCCCTGGTGCTGGTCCGGTCACACACGTATGTGCGGCCGTCAGCCGTTCCTGGACATCGGGTGCTATGCTATGTCCTGGCCGCTATGCCATGTTCCTGGGTTTGGTTTCGGTCTCATGCTTCACACGTGCAGACGGCCGTCAGCCGTTCCTGGCTCCTGGCATTCACGCTGCCGTTTTGCACCAGCAGTTCGGCATGGTATCAGCCTGGTTCAGTTGGGGTTGGTTTACACGCGTATGTACGGCCGTCAGCCGTTCCTGGCCTTGGGGTGCTATGCTTTGCCCTGGTCGCTATGCCACTCCTGGATTGGTTTCGGTCTCCTGCTACGCACGTGCAGACGGCCGTCTGCCGATCCTGGGTTCCTTACCTTGGCACAGCTAATTACTTTCGTGGCAAGTGATGTGTGGAAGCCACTAGCATCGGCATCCTGGCCTGCGATTCCTGCATTTCCCCACCAGCCTGATTCAGTTTGGCCAAGCAATTTGGTGCATGTCGGTGATGGTGGACCGCTTCTGACCTCCTGGCCCTGGCGCCCCCAGCTCACCGCAGCGCAACTCGGCGGCTTAGGCAGCTTAGGCTTGACCCCGCGCTCTAGTTTGCTGCTCGCTGTAAATTGGTAAGGACCGCGCCCCGGACTTACCGACCCGCCGCCTGCGCCTTCGCTTGCGGCCGCGGCCAAAAAATATCCCCACCAGCGCATCCGTACTGGCTCTTTCGAACCTGGTGAGGCACCCTGGCGTCCAGGTGACTTGCACGTCGACCAGCTCCGGTTAGAACTTGCGTGTTCCAGGCTGGTCCTCAGACACCGCCACAGCCTGGCCGTGTTTGGAGCTGCCGCCTGCATGGTGGGACGCGCCCCTACGTGGATTGCTCAAGAGTAGTTCAGCCTTCTTGGTCAGCCGTGCGAGGTTGTCACCGTTGGCATGCAGCAGTGGTGCGCAGGACTGCTGGCGCAGCCCCGCGCTTGCCATGTTCGGTGGCACGACTACCCCTGGCGCGTGGCGCGATAGGGCACAATTCGTTCGTCTTCCCGGTGGTCTCGCCTCTGGGATGGCTGCACTTCGACCGCTTGGCTCTCTTGGCAGCTCCTGCAGCCTGCCTCAGCCCCCGGCGCCGCTCAGCGTCCCTCGGCGGCAGCTTTGGCAGCCGTGAGTGCGCTCGTTGGATAAGTAGGTTCCGCCCGTAGCCCGGGTCGACCCTTGCCGCCGTGTGCGCCTTCGTTTGCGGTTGCGACGACGAATTCCCCACCAGCCCATTCAGAAACAGTTTGCCAGGCGAGTTGAAGCGTTGGTTTGAGAGGTTCTCGGGGGTCTTTTGGAACCATGTTGGGCTCTCTTGAGGTCCTCTTGGGGCCCTTTTGGGGGCCTTTTTGGGGCTCTTTTGGGGCCGTCTTGGGGCCCTCTTTGGGCCCTTCGGCCGGGTCTGAGAGGTCTCTTGGGGCCACCTGGGCCCCCGGAGCTCAAAAGGAGGGGGGTCCTCAGTTCAGGCCCCCCCCCCTTTCGGAGGCTCAAACGTTGCCTCTTTGAGCCTTTTCGAGGCGCTCCTGGGGTGCTCTTGGGCGTTCTTGGGCCCCTCTTGGGCCCCTCTTGGGCCCCCCTAGGGGCTCTCCTGGGCCGTCATGGGGCGAGGCTTCGGAGGCCCATCAGAAGCGAAAGGGCGAGCACGCAAAAAACATTTGTTTCCTTGGAACGATTTTGGCCTCTTGTGGGCGTCTTTGGAGGGTTCGGAGGGCACTTGAAACCATCTTGGGGCCGTCTTGGGGCACCTTCGATGTATGTTGGAGGTTATCTGGAGCCATCATCAGCTATCGAAGGAGAGGTTATCCTCAATTAGCTCCCCCCCACCAGGCGGTCCGGCGCCTCCTGCCTGGGGCGTCTTGGGTGCATCTGGGGGGCCTCTTGGGGCCTCTTGGGGCCTCTTGGGGATCTCTTGGAAGCCTCCTGGGGGCATCTTGGGGGCCTCTTGGGGGCTTCTTGGGGCCTCCTGGGCACCTCCAGGGGCCGTCTTGGGGCACTCTTGGGAACATCGGGGGCCATCTTGGGGCCATTTGGGAGGAAATCGAGCAAAGGAGGGGGCCGTAGTGCATTAGCCCCCCCCAGGAGATCAACGCGTGGCCAATATATCTGTAGTCGAATCAGTGATTTTGGCTTCCCTTGTGGGAAGAGGAGACGCTGTAAACCAGTCGCGCCCAGATGGCTGGTGGGATTCACAAGACAGCGTGTTCAGCTTGGCCATGTCTGCCTTGATGCCCATCTGTCCTGCCTTTCCAGGCGTCGACCTATGGCTCCCCTTCCTCCTTTGCTTCCATCCTCGCTCTTCTTCCTTCCCCCAGGCGCATCACCCTCCCAGCTCTCCCGCCCTCCTCCCTCTTTACCCTTTCTCCTCCCTTCCCCATTCCCTTTTCCTCCCCCCCTTCCCTTTCCCTCTCTCTCTCTCTCTCCCTTTTTCCCCCTCGTCCTTTCCCCCCATTCCCCCTTCCCCCTTCACAATTACTCAAGATGAATACTACTCTCCTCTCTCTCCTGAGTCTGTGGCGGAATATGTCTCGGAGTGTTCGGCCCCCCCTCGCGCATGGTTTTTCCACAGGATGTCGGCGAGTTGGGTTTTCGTTTGTTGTTGTTGAACATTATTACTTCTAAAGAATAATTATTGTTGGGACCCCTGGTGCATGGCCCCCCCGCCGCGCCTAGGCCGCAGCCACATTTTCATCATTTTCGTGAGGAAATCTCAGGTAAAACGATGTCATCCAGATCCGGTTGTGTTGTTACGATCGGTTTTCCCTTGCAAAAAAAAGCTAAAGTGGACATTTCTTGTTCTAACATAACCAAACTTCAAGAATCCCTTGCAAAAAATAAGGTAAAGTGGACATTCGCGCGCGCAAGACGAAATCCTTCCAAAACCTTAGTTTTCGTAGCGATTTTAACATAAAAACATCAAAAAACCAATGGTTTTTCAAAAAAAAATGTCAAAATTTCATCCCGCGCGCTCTTGCGGATTCGTAGGAAACCCAACACTTTTTAAACATTTCTGTCAAACGGGCTTTTGCGAGCAACTTTTTCGAACTTCTGCAACAACGGTTGCGCACCTGCCAGGGCCATCATCCCTGTCAAATAATACCATGCGGGACACATTCGTTTTTTCTTCGCGCGCGCACGCCGTCGTCGTCGGCCGCGGGGCCCTGAATAGTAGCCACGGTCGTCCGCATGCCACGAAGTGAAGTGTCCGAACGTCATAGGGCGGGAAGCTGGGTGTGGGTGGTGGCGAAGAGTCGTTTGGAAATTTGGTAGAGCTTGAACCGGCCCCCCCACAAAGTGGGGGTATTGCCCGCCTCCTATGAAAACCCTGGCACTGGTGAGAACGGAGTGTCCCCACGTGCTAGTAATTGTTGTTGTTGTTGTTGTTGTTGTTGTTGTTGTTGTTGTTGTTGTTGTTGTTGTTGTTGTTGTAGTTGTTGCTGTTTTTTTCTGCTCTCGCTCAGGCGCTAGCCTCATTTTCGGGCTTCCGCTCGTTCCGAGTCGCGCTCCCGCTGCAGCGCTGGCTTCATTTCCGCGCTTCCGCTCATGTCGAATCGTGCTCCCGCTGCAGCGCTGGCCCTATTTCCGCACCTCCGCTCGTTCTCTATCGTGCTCCCGCTGCAGCGATGGCGTCATTATTTAATCGCTTCGCTCATTCCGCCGGCCCATTTTTGGGCACTGCTGCGTCGACTGGCCGAGTGGTCGTTGGCGGTGTTGAGCTGCCGGGGCGTCGGCTGCTTTCTGCGGCGTTGCGTGGGGCATGATGCTGTGGCGATTCTTCTGGATTTTTTTTTTGAGTTTTCAGGGGAATCGGTCGCTTTCCACGGGGCGGCTAGTTGTGTTGTGCTTTGTTGGATTTCGGGTGCCTTCGTGGGGGTTTGCTGGTCGTGGATGCTCGCTCTGGGGCTTGTTAATGGGGCGCAGGGGACATTTGATGCGGCGGTGTTGGGGTCTTCTGGCAGGTATCGCCGAAGCCTTTTGGAGGTAGTTTTGAAACTTTTTGAAGCCTCGTCAGGGCCGTTTGGGTGCCCTGGGGGCTTGATTTTGGGCCTTTCGGAGGCTTCTTGGGACTTCTGCGTGCTTCTTGGGGGCCTGCTGGCGGTCTCGACCCCTGGGGTCGGAAAGCTTCGAATGTCATTTCGAGTTCCCTCTCTGGGGGCGTCTTGGGCCGTCTTGGAGCCCTCTTGGGCCGTCTTGGAGCCCTCTTGGGCCATCTTGGGCGCACCTTGGGGGCATATTGGGCCACCTTGGGGCGACCTTGGGGGGCTCTTGGGCAGTCTTGGACGCTGTGAACCTCCCAGCGTCGTCTATGCCAGAAATGCACGTTTTCCCTCAGAAATGGGGCGACTTTTTGTTGCTGGGGCCCTCTTTGGAGGGCCTCTTGAGGCTCTCTTGGAGCTTCTCGGTGGCGTCTAGGTCCGTCTGGAGCACATCATGGGTGTCTTGGAGCAGTCTTTCGGCGACTCGGGGCCCCTTGGACCGTCTCGGGGGCGTCTTGGCGCCTTCTTGGCGCGTTCCTGGAGCGCTCTGGGAGGCCTGGAAGGCAGCCCTCTTGGGTCGCCTTGGGGCGCATCTTGGGGGCGTGTTGGGCCGTCTTGGGGCGGTCTTGGGGGGCAGTCTTGGACGCATCTTGGGGGCATGTTGGGCCATCTTGGGGCGATCTTGGGGGGCTCTTGGGCAGTCTTGGACGCTGTGAACCTCCGAGCGTCATCTATGCCAGGTATGTACGTTTTCCCAAGGAACTGGGGCGACTTCTTGTTGTTGGGGCCCTTTTGGAGGGCCTCTTGAGGCTCTCTTGGAGCTTCGCGGCGGCGTCTAGGGCCGTCTGGAGACCATCGTGGGCGTCTTGGAGCAATCTTTCGGCGACTCGGGGCTCCTTGCATCGTCCCGGGGGCGTCTCGGAGCCTTCTTGGCGCATTCCTGGAGCGCTCGCTCTGGGAGGCCTGGAAGG